TCATCAACTGGAAATTGTATCTATACATGTAACTTTTTTGGAGGGGCTCATTTAACTCATAGGATGACAATTTATGTTTTATATTTTCAAATATGGATGATTTTGATCACATTTAAATGTGAGTTATACTGCCTGTGCTTAACATGGCATGAGGATTATAATTAACTGGTATTCTATAGTCAAGCAACAACTTTGGGGACAACCATTATACCTGTGGTTTCTGTGAAAGATCCAGTGATACCTGAACCTTTTATCTTTAATCCAAAAGTTTAGCAGAAGGCCCATGTCCACATCCCTTTCCCTTACTCTTCTGCTATCCCTTGTTGTATGAACACAAATTTAAATTTAAATTATATATGTGAGAAGTGATATACAAAGGTAAGGATCTGAGAATTCATAGACAAAGTAAATATTTAAAAATAATTTTAAAGGATAAGAAAAAGGGAGAACTCCCTTGGGGAGCCAGGAAGGTGGAAAATAAGGCTTGAAGTAGGGTGGAGTAGTAATCCAACCACAGCTGCCACCCATCCTGTATTTATCCAGAGATGCCGGAGTGGCGTTTGGATAAGACCCAGGCAAACCACCAGCACATTCCTGGTGTTGGTGAATGGCCACTTAAAGAGCAGGACACCCCTGGTATATCCCTAAACCCCAGACTGAAAGTCCAGCAGGCTGTTACAAGGACCAGGAAGGGTGAAGGGCTGAGGAGGGACCACCCACCCTCTTGTCTGATTCTTGCACTGATGGAGCCCTGGACATTTAACACTAGCACTCTGGGAATACAAAGCCCTTTCATCTACATAATCTCCCCTGAGATCATGAAACAACTTTCTGTACAGGGCAAATAGGATAGTAGTATCACATGCACCCTATAAACGAGAAAGAAATAGGTCAAACACAAAATGGATCACTGTGGGCAGTACCTGGTGGAGAGGGGCTGAGCTGACTGTGAGCTTGGATTCTCCAAGGCTAAGCCCAAGGGTCAGCATCACGACCCTCCACCTCTGTTCCCTGGGTTTCTCAGAGTGACCTCACTCACTGACGGTCTGCAAAGATCATTAACTCTCCCCCTTATTTCTGCCTCCCAAGCTGAGCTGTGCAGTTGGCACCGCTCTCCCCACCAGCCTACTGAGCTGCTGCCTTCCATCCTTAGACAGTTTCTGACAGCCCCACCCTCCTACACAAAGCCCTGCCTGTCTGGTCAAAGTAGGGTGGTGATTTCCCACCCTTTCTAAAAACATGCCTTGTAAGGCTTTCTCTATCCTCCAAAATATACTTGCCCCTTCACAGCCACATTTTCTAATACAGTGTGCTTGAGCCATGCCCGTGGGTGGAGAAGGTGATAAATGGCTTCTCTGGCTGCACTGTTGTCAGGCTTAGACCACAGTCTTGTAAAAGACAGGAGCTGGGGGTCCGTAGCAGGCAGCTCCACAAACAGATGGCCAGTTTGGAGACTTTAAGGTGAATTCAGAGCTGCTCAATGAGAGAGACACTTCTTTTTAAAGTGTTAGTTCCAAATAAAGTGATGCTGTACATTCCTTTAATTCCTTAGTTTCACTGTCCTTAATCTCAGTGATAATAACCTGGCTTGTGGCTATTGTTTATTACTGGTTTACAGAACTTGTCTAGCTGTGTAGTTTCTATTGGTTTTCCTCTGAGCTGAACAAAGCACTTTGATATTGCCTCATTAGCTTCACAGTGGACGACTTGACCATTTTCATATTGATTTATCTTTTTAAAGCCCCAGTTATTTTTTGGTCCTATGTCAGCGTATCCTGCCAGTCAGCCAGCATGTGCTTTCATGGATACCCTTGACACCAGCTTAGTCAAAACAACTGAGAAGGCTGCCAGAATGTTAAATAATGTATACCAAAGGCTTGCATAAAATAATTTGTTACCCAGTGTTCTGCTTTTCCCATGCCATGGTTCCTCCCAATAGTATGGAAAATCAAAGGTTGGCCTGCTCTAAGAGACCAGGCAGTTTGATGATGGGAAACAGTGTCCTTTCTTTAGCAGAGAAATAACGTGCCGAAGGTCAAAGTATCAGGGTCAGAATAAGTAAAATCAAAAGTTTCTGAATTCCCAGTCCTTCAAAGTTTGTTGTAATACATGATCATACCTAGAAGGAAAATAATTTTAGTACCTAGAAGGAAAAAAATGTAAAATCTAAGTAGTACACATATAAAAAACTAGTCAGAATTTCTAATTTCTCCCAATTCCGTTGATGTAAAAATTATAGATTTTAATCACTTTGTACATTAAATGGTACCTTTGAGGAAAAGTTTATCTGTCCCTTATGACTTAAACTCTAATATTTATTTTTGTGTATGAAATTGAGAACATTGGTGGGAATGTTTACTCTAGCCCTAAAAAGTACTTCATTTTTGTCACTATGAAAATGCTCTTTTTTGTTTTGTTTTGTTGGATTATCATTCATATGGGAAAGAACTATCTTTTTCTTAGTTTTCCTTTATATGGTAAATCTAAAGGGCAACGTTGATTTTCATAAATATAAGAATCATCTATCTGTGTGTTTTGGTAAACAATAATATGCAAAGCAAATGCTGAGGTTTTTTTTTTCTTCAGAAAGAAATTAATATTTAATAATCATGTATTAATAGTTGGCTACATTATAGCTAGTTATATTGGACCTATTTGTATCTGAGTGTAAATAATTTCTCAGATTGTTTGTGGTATTTGAAAATAGGATGTTAAAGTTATTAGTAATATTGTGTATTTTCCTGATAAGTGGCAGTAGTGGAAATCCTCCTGTGTTTTCTCTTTGCATACATGTTTATAAATACAACATTAAATACTAAGTATGCCATACCTTTATTCTGCAGAAATTGAGGCCAAATCTTCATGTGTACAAAATATGTATGAACCACAACATCTCCTGGTTTGGGATCTAGGTAAATAATATCTAAATATATAGAGGCCCTACTTTGAGAGGTTGATTAGAAGCATAAATTAGGTAAATTTTGAAATGATACTAAGGTAGCCAGAATCTCTACTTAGATGGAAGTTTACCCTGGGCACCAAATATTAGAAGCACTAAGATATTAATAAATATTTTTCATGTGTATGTATGTTTAGACTTCCCTTACTTTTACAAATCTTCAGGCTTGTTGGCAGGTCCACCTTACCTTGGTAGACAGCAGAGGGCTAAAGGTAGGGACCGTCTGGGATAGGCAGGACCCCTCTCTCCCTCTTTTCCTACCTGACTGTGGAGTTAGGGGGCATTTTGTGCTGCGTATTCTGGGTTCATTGCTCACTATAGATTGACTGCTTGACAGTTTTCATCTGCTTACGCTTTCATTCAGTCCTCCTGACAGACCTGTGTGATAAACACTGATTTACAGGCAAGGAACCTGGGGCCATGAGGTGCTCAACAACTTTGCCAACAACACAGCTCCTAGATAATAGAGCAGGGACTTGACTCTGGTCTCCAATATCACTCACCCTCTTAGTATTCTTTGAACATTTGTTCCTGAAGTCACCATTCTTGTCTGGAATGAGATTGGAAGAGAGGTTCAATTTTCCTTTCATCAGTGTGGGGGACTGGGTTAACTAGTGCCCTCATTCCAGTTCATTCTCATGATGTCTCAGTACCAATTTTAGGGATGTGACCAGCAGGTGTGCCCATTGTCTATATAGGTCCTCTGAAATACAGCCTAGAAGCCCCAGACCTCAACATTAAGCACATAATAAATGTTGATTCTCTTACCACACTGTAGACTTGTAAAAACACCTTGGGTGATGACAGGTGCGTGGAGGGGGGCATCCATGTGTAGAGCAGCAGTGGGGTGAAATCCAGGCTTTCTTTTCCCCACTCTCCACTGCCACTTCTCAGTGACTTTTATTGTCTCCTCCTGCTTAAATCCTTTGAGGGCTTCCCTATGCTCTAGACTAACATCCATTTCCTTTGTCCTGACCCTTAGTTCCATATAAAACTCCTTTGCAATAGAGCTGAGTAAGAAAGAAAAAAAAAGAATTCTGCTGCTATTTTTTTTAAATGAAAACAATTTTAAGAGACATGATTTTCCTTGTTTATGTCTGAATCTGTGCAACAACAAGCTCTGCTTTAATGAAGTTCTGTTGCATTCAAAGATTTAAATGTCTTTCAATTCATTGAAAAAAATCATTTGCAGTGGATAGTAGTGGAATAAATGTTTTCAACACTTCCAGAATCTGTTTTTGTTATGATTTGTGTATATGGGTTAGATTATTTTAAGGGAACAATTATTGCATTTCATGCTTACCACATGAACATTGTGTGGCATCATTGCATATTTTTTCTCCAATATATCTTAGAATGGGATAGATCAGCCCAAATTGTGTATCTAAAATAGGTCAAAAGAAAGTTTATTTATCTTGACACTGTTCTTTAGGTTATTTCTAAAAGGCCTGTTATTCTACTGCTTAAAGAGAAATGAAACCCCTTTTCCATACTTATCACCATTGACCTCAGCTGCTGTCTTTCTTTCTCAATCCAGGGGACTCTTAATTTGATTTGGAGCCGTTCTTAAGATACAATATATAATAGTGGGAATAAAATATATTTAATGCTTTTTTGGAATTTGAAACTGCTGATCAAAAATTGATAAAGCAATGTTTTTAATACATTAAGTAATTTTTCTTTGTTTCAGGATGCTAGTGAAACATTTCTCTCTGCCTAACACATTCCGTGCATGAATGTACATGTCACTCTGTGACAGTAATTACACGTGTGTACCCACGTGCACCCATCCACACAAGGAAAGGGGGCGGATTCCAATTCTAACCCAATCAACTCAATCAGATGCTTTAAAATCATTAGGTAATGGCTTTTGGTGTTGGCATGCACCCAGACAGTTTGCCTAGCTTTGTAGTCACATTTTTTCTTTGAATGCCACACATTTTAGCCTTGAAAAATTGTCAAAAATGCTAAAAGAGAATAAATTATGTATGAATTAAAACACAAACCGATTGCATTTCTGTTGCACGTTTTTCCCCCACAGGCAGCAGATAACACCGGACAAGCAAGAGAAGCCTGTTCATTCATGTATGCACTGAACATATGTTTATTGCATGAGGACTTACTGTGTGCGAGGAGCTGTGGTGGGTACAAAACTGAGTAAGACACAGCTCTTCTGAAGGGAGAGATAGGACAGATGGTTATCACAGGAATCAAGGCTGGGGGGAGAATAAATACCGTAGATTGTGAGATACAATCCACCCGCCATTTATCACCCTCCTCCCACTCTGCCACACGGCAGGCTGGGACACAGGGGTACAGGTAACCAGTGGGTCCCCCTTTCTTGAAACACTCTGTTCTTTGGTTCCTACTGACCACCCAGGTCTACCACCAGCCTGTACAGTATCTTGATTACAAAATAGGCACCCATTTGTCTGGAGTGAGGGTGGAAATCTAGTCTGAGCTCCACCTCCAAGTTGTAAAGAGCTGATGCAGTCCCACAGCAGGGTGGACACAGACCATTACCACCCCTTAACTACTGGGAGGGTAAAGGTCATACTGGATTTCCATTCTCATTCTCCTTACCTACACTCCAGGCCAGATGGCCTTGTTGAGACCACAACCTATACAACAAATCAAATTCTTGTGAAAAATACTGGCATTCTTCTATAGACTCCTTTGGCCTAGGGCTACAGTCCTCAGGGAATAATTCCTCACCCAGGCTGAAGTCAGTCAGGAAGGCAGTGAGTAGGTTAGGAGAGTATCAGGGGGACCGGCAGCCCCTCTCTTGGTAATAAGGAGGGTCTTAACATTTCTTCCTGAACTTTCTTTAAAGAAGTTGGTAACCATGATTCTTGCCTTGCTTGTGATTTAAAAAAAATATTAAAAAGCTATGATAAATGACTGGAGTTTTAAAATTTGGTAGACCTAAGCGTTATCAGCTATGACCTTTATTTTATGTTACTCTAAGCCTCAATTTTCTCCTCTGTAAAATGAGCCTAGTACTTACTTCATAGGCTGGGTGCAGTGGCTCACGCCTGTAATCCTAGCACTCTGGGAGGCCGAGGAGGGAGGATCACTCAAGGTCAGGAGTTCAAAATCAGCCTGAGCAAGAGTGAGACCCCGTCTCTACTAAAAATAGAAAGAAATTAATTGGCCAACTAAAAATATATAGAAAAAATTAGCTGGGCATGGTGGCGCATGCCTGTAGTCCCAGCTCCTTGGTGGGAGGCAGAAGGATCACTTGAGCCCAGGAGTTTGAGGTTGCTGTGAGCTAGGCTGACACCACGGCATTCTAGCCCAGGCAACAGAGTGAGACTGTCTCAAAAACAAAACAAAACAAAACAAAAACGTATTTTAATACAATATTAACATCCAGTAAATGTAGATATGTCATTAATTGTCATCACTCATCAGGCTGCTTTGTGACTTTTTTCCACTCTTTGCCACCATTTCCTGAGGCCTTCCACTCTGTATTACTGTTATCTTTCACTCAGCCCCCAACATCTATGTCTAATTCCTTGCTTAAAGACTCATTATATGTTTTCCTAAGATTTTTAAGAAAGGATTCTTCATTTTTAAAGGTATGAAAGCTGAGATAGCTTTAGGTCATCTTAAATGACATCTAAAGTCACGTGGCAAGCCAGGGACAGATTCAGATTTTAAAAGTACCTCTCTGTCCAGGTGCCTGTTCTGACTATTTTTTTTATATATAAGGCCCCTAGAGAGAGAGAGGAGACAAAAGGACAAATGTTTCATCCCTGCTTGCAGCAGGTGTCATTCTATTTGATTTGCAGGCCTTTCAACAAAACAAAGCCCTTTCTGTTCTTTTACAATATACGCTCTCTTTAAAGGTACTCGAATGAGGAAAAAGCATACACTGGACAAGATGTCAGGTTCTGACAGACAGAAACTGGGCTCTTAGTTGCTGATTCACTCTTCACAGGGAAAACTAGATGCCATTGAAACATTCTTTTCTAAATAGCATTTAAATTTTTATGATAGTTTCCCTTGAAATATATATGAGTGGCATTCCCAGCAAGTTACTATGTTTATACTAGTATAGAAAACTTTTAAAAGCCAGTTAAGTTCTCTTTTGTGTGATCAACAGAATCTCTCTCTGTTTGAATAATAATGCAGAATAGCATGTTTGCTTATTGCAGTTGATTTTAAATGTCTCCAATTTGCTAACCCCAAATAGTTACCATTGTTTTTCAAAAGTAATATACATTCTAAACCACATAAGTAGTATAAAAGTGTGTTTGACTTTTCAAAAAAAGCTCTATTCTGGAGTTACTCAGGTTTCATAATAATAAAAATCAATTTAGCTAAAATGTAATGAAGTATTAACCATGTGCAAGATACTGTGCTGAGCAGTTTTCATATCAGATGTCATTTACTCTTTTCAACAACGGTAAGAAGTAGGTACAACTATTATCCCCATTTTGCAGATGAGGAAACTAAGACTTATCAAGGTTTATAGTTTGCTTTAGGTCTCAAAGCTAGTAAGGGCTGGTGCCAGGTGGGAAGTTGGGTTCCTGCCTCAAGATCCTGTGCCATCATTAATTCCAAGGTACTGTGTGATCTCCCTGTTTATTCATTGCCATGTAAGGGGGGGGGGCCCAGATCAGATGGGCATGGGTATTACATTTGTTTTCAGATATAATAATTGTTTAGAGGTAAAACCTTTGGGTCCTATTTTACCTAGAATCCATACATTCAAAATACAATTGATAAAAGAAAATTAGCTCATCAACTCTAATATGTGTATGAATTAAAAAATAGTCAATCTGATGAGAGATTTCCTCAGAATAAAGCACTATGAGTGGCATTAGGAATCTGAGTAGTTGAGTGCTTGCCTTTTGGGTAAGTGTAAGGAGTTTGAAAAGCTCATTATATTGATAAAGTGTCTTAGGGCATTTCAGGACATCGCTCTAAAAGTTTTATTTAGTGTGAAATTTTAAAATTCTTTGTCTTAAAAGTATGCGAACTCTTTCCTTTCCATTTTTCAAGTGAACTGTTAATGTAGGAAGTCCTAATTGTGTGTGGATTTGGGGAATATGCCCAACATTTACTAGTTAAATTATTAACATAGTTTATGAATTCTTTTGATTTCATTAATCATAAATGTACTGGGGCAGGGGGAAAGATCCCACGGTTTATGAGATAGTTGGCCAAATCCCACCTGCTCAAACATAGCCTGTCATTATTAAAATACAATACTCTTATTTAATCCCCCATTCAAACTAAATGATAACATGAAACAAAGCTAACCGAAATCAGGACACCTGATATCAAGAATTCATGAAGTAAAAAGCCATTGTACAGCAGGGAATCTAATGCTTTTGCTTCTTATCCTTTAAATACAAATAAAATAAGCTTTTTTGGGTTTGGCGATTCTTAGAAATGAGAGGTTTGAGAAACAGATCCATGGTGGAGTCTGTGACATTCCGAAGACAAGCAGACTAAGCAGGTGGTTCACATGGTCCCTTTCTGGTGCACACGTTCAGGCTCAGGTGCCCCTCAAAACGACTGCATTTCTGGGCTGGGGAAGCACAAAAATGCAGATTCTACTGTTCCTGTGAAAGGAAAGGGGGTGGGGGAGAGCCCAGGTAAACATCTTGTTATCGAGCTTCCCTACTGCAATGAGGCTGACGGATGGGGCTTTTTAAAACGTCGCTGCAACCAGATGCAGGGGTGCAGCCTTGCTTACCGCAGCGCGCTGCAGTCGTGTACGTTTCAGGGACAGACACAAGGGGAAGTCGCAGCCAGAGCACACCCAGGCTGCTCGCTGCAAGCCTTGCTGGAGAGAGGGGATCCACAGAAACTGGGATCAGCCTCTCCAGCCCAGGCGGAGGCTGAGCGGTGGCTCAGGTCGAGACAGCGGGCAGGGGCGGGGGGCGGCGCTCCCGGCCCATCCCTCAGGCCCGCGGCCGCCCTGTGGGCAGGGAGGCTGCCCGCACCGCGTCGGCCAGGCCGGCCAGCAAACCCTCCGTCCCGGGAGAAAGCCGATCGCAGTTCAGGTGGGGACTTCCTCGGGGCCGTACCTGGCTGGCGCGGAGCATGTGGGCGGCCGGCAGCGGGCATTTCTGGTCATGGCAGCCCAGAAATGAAAGCAGCGGCAGCCGCCGCCTGTGAGCGCTGCAGCGAGAGCGGCGCCCAGCAAATAAGAAGCAAGTCCTGGACCCGGAGGAGGAGGAGGAGCGGCCGAGCATCTCTCTCCCGCTCCTCCGTGTCCTTTAAATGAGGACTCCCTGCCAGCGCCGGAGGTGGATCTGCAGAGCCTCCCTCTCCGCTCCTGACCCCGCGCTTACATCACTAACCTGTGACAGGCACATCTCCACGCCCGGTACCTGCTCCTCCAGCGGCTCCCCGTCCTAGGAGCCTCTTTGTATGCCGCAGACATGGCCAGCCAGCAGGACTCGGGCTTCTTTGAGATCAGTATCAAATATTTACTGAAATCCTGGAGTAATAGTGAGTAATAGAAAATAACCTTTTTTGTTTGTTTGTTTGCTGGATGTTGCGTAAGGCTCGAGAAATTGAAATCTCAACTGGACACATATGTTTGTGAGCCAAGGAAGTTTTTTGTTTTTTTTTTTGTTATTATTTTTTTCTTCCATCTGCTGTGAAAATCAAAATGTCAGAGACTTAACTAGCTTTCCTTAAGTGCAAAGGCTGCATTGGAATTACAGTAGATTTTTGTTTGATTAAATTTTCAAGTGAGATGGCCCTTCAGACTCTGGTGGAGCATTCCTGGCTGCATTTCCTGCCTCGATGTTTATTTGATTTATTCAGGCTCCATCTAAATATTTTGTGAAGTGTGGTTTAATCAAAGGGGTGTGGCAGGGTTTCAGAGTACTTTGTAACTGTTTTATTAGGGTATTGTCTGCAGAAAGAAAGTAGTTAATAGTTCAAAACCTAAGACTCATCCTTTTTGTATACAGAGGCATCTGCAGATTTATTTATCTCTCTCTTGTCCATGTAGATGATGTTCCGAATGACATTTAATATTGGAATTTTTAAAAATTCGGATGTTTGCTATAATGAAAATAGCATGCTTTTTTGAAACATAAACAAGTGAGGTTCTGGCCCTAATCATTTATTAGGATATCACAATATGATGGCTTCTGAAATTCCATTTCTGACCTACATACAGATTTTAGCCATACGCTAGTTCAAAAAGACAACCTCTAAGCCACCGTGGATCTGGAATCAAATTAAAATGAGGCCTTCAGTTGATCAGCAATGCCTTATATTTTCTGAACAGTTTAAAAACTAAGTCTTCTGTATTCTACTAACAGCCTTTGTACTTGCTATGGATAAAAGACTGGCAGGTATTACTGATCCTTGTTTTAAATGAAAAAAATTTTCCGAGAAAAAATTTGATATTGTTTTATATGCATACTAATTAACCTACCTGTACTCAAAGAGCTGGTGATTAATTATCTCCTTCACAAATGACCTGTGGCCAAGATTGTTCTTATGTAAACAAAACCTGGGCAGGAGAACCTGTGCCATAATTGCTTTGAGAAAAGAGCCAAAGTACCTTTAGCCTTAAGGTATTCAGGGAAATGCATCTCTAAATGATATCCATAGAAACCATTTTTTTCTTCAGGTCATTTTGCACCACTGTATACACTATGGGGCTGGTCTGAAGCTGCTTTTTTCTACAAGTGGGAAGCCATTTGGGAATAATAGTGTTGCCCAAACAGCATTCCTTTATTTGTTATAGCCATAAACCATTTAACTTGGATTCATTATTTGTGTAATACTTTACACTCAAGGATGAATCTTCCTTTGTCTATCTACCCTTTCATTAATGAAAAGAATTTGACATACAGGGTTCTTTATAGAGCAGTTTTCCAGTAACAAAAAACTCACTTGTGAGTTTGACATCAGTATGTGGTTTTCTAATCATCACTCGATCATTCCAAGGCCAGACTATTTTCTTCCATCAATTTTTGTCATTGCCTCATTAGATAGAAAATTATATTGTGACAATACTGAGACCAGTGAGATTTCTTTTAA